GACAGATGCCCAGCATCACAACGGCCATACCGCCTGAGACATCCCCGCCAACTGGGCGCGAACGTCCTCCAAATCTGCTCCGAAAGCGAAAGATGCTGGATGAGAAAATGGCCAAACCGCCTGAGACATCCCCACAAAATCCCGCGAAAGGGGCCGAGTGAAATACCCCCACGCCGCTCCTCTGAGAGTGCTGAAACCAGCGAATCGCGTGAGACATCCTCCAAATCTGCTCCGAAAGCGAAACATGTTGGAAGAGAAAAAGGCCAAACTGCCTGAGACATCCCCACAAAATCCAACGAAAGGGGCCGAGTGAAATACCCCCCCGCCGCTTCCCTTAGAGTGCTGAAACCAGCGAATCGCCCGAGACATCCTCCAAATCTGCTCCGAAAGCGAAAGATGTTGGAAGAGAAAATTGCCAAACCGCCTGAGACATCCCCACAAAATCCCGCAACAGGGGCCGAGTGAAATACCCCCCCGCCGCTCCCTTTAGGAGTGCTGAAACCAGCGAATCGCCTGAGACCATCATCCATCGGCTCCGAAAGCGAAACATGATTGAGGAGAAAAAGGACAACCGTTTTGTGGACGTCCCACAATTACTCGACGCGGGGCTCCCCATATGTGCATCACATTCTCTTGGTACGTCTTTCTCTTGATATCTGTCAATGAGCGCCTGTGTGCGAGGGCGAACCGCTCGCTCGAGGCATTCCCACAGTCTGCAAGCATGAGTGCGACCAATAGCAAATCTGGCAGCGACTGATTCTGAGTGTGAGTTAATTTGGGTGCGATTGAGCCTGGAGTTGAGTTGGTATGCGTGTGAGTAAATATGAGCGCGAGTGCGTCTGTGTGCGAGTGGGTCTGAGTATGGACGAATCTGAGTGTGAGCCAGTCTGTGATTGAGCGGATCGTAGCATGATGAGTCTGAGCATGAGTGAGTCTGGGCTTGAGTGGGTCTGAGTGTGAGAAAAGTGTGTGCTAATGAATCTGAGTGCGAGTGAGCCGAGTGTGATTGGGTATGGATGTGAGGCAGTCTGAGTGTGAGCCGGTCTGCGTTTGAGCGGACCGAAGGATGATGAGTCTGAGCAGGAGCGAGTCTGAGTATGAGTGATTCTGAGCGTGAGTAAGTTTAAGTATGGATATGAGCGAGTCTAAGTGCGAGTGAGCCTGCGTGTGACTGACTCTGAGTATGAGTGAGTATGAATGCAGAAGAGTGAGGGAGAGCGGAGAGCGAAGGAGAGTGAGGCGGAAGCGTTTGAGTAAAACCTAAAGCCTTGGAACATCGAACCTCGATCGTCTGGCCCTGGCTACTCGAGTTGCCCACGTCCTCCTCCTCCTCCTCCTCATTATCATCATCATCATCATCATCATCATCATCATCATCATCATCATCATCATCATCATCATCATCATCATCATCATCATCATCATCATCATCATCATCATCATCATCATCATCATCATCATCATCATCATCATCATCCTAATCATCATCATCATCATAATCATCATCATCATCATCATCATCATCATCATCATCATCATCATCATCATCATCATCATCATCATCATCATCATCATCATCATCATCATCATCATCATCATCATCATCATCATCCCCTTCCTGCTTCTGCTCCTACCGTGTTCATGCTGTCCTCCATCTCCTCCTCCTCCTCCTCCTCGTCCTCTTCCTCCTCCTCCTCGCTTCCTCCTTCTCTTCCTCCTCCTCCTCCTCCTCCTCCTCTTCCTCCTCCTCCTCCTCCTCCCTGGGAGTGCTGAAACCAGCAAATCGCCTGACACATCCTCCCAAAGCTGCTCCGAAAACGACAGATACCCAGCATCATAACGGACAAAACGCCTGAGACATTCCCGCAAACTGGGCGCGAACGTCCTCCAAATCTGTTCCGAAAACGAAACATGTAAGAGAAACTGGCCAAACCGCCAGAGACATCCCGACACAATCCCGCGAAAGGGGCCGAGTGAAATACCCACCCGCCGCTCCCCTTAGAGTGCTGAAACCAGCGAATCGCCTGAGACATCCTCCAAATCTGCTCCGAAAGCGAAACATGTTGGAAGAGAAAATGACCAAACCGCCTGAGACATCCCCACAAAATCCCGCGAAAGGGGCCGAGTGAAATACCCCCCGCCGCTCCCCCTAGAGTGCTGAAACCAGCGAATCGCCTGAGACATCCTCCAAATCTGCTCCGAAAGCGAAACATGTTGAAAGAGAAAATGGCCAAACCGCCTGAGACATCCCCACAAAAAATCCTGCGAAAGGGGCCGAGTGAAATACCCCCCCGCCGCTCACCTTAGGAGTGCTGAAACCAGCGAATCGCCTGAGACATCCTCCAGAGCTGCTCCGAAAGCGAAACATGTTGGAAGAGAAAATGGCCAAACCGCCTGAGACATCCCCACAAAATCCTGCGAAAGGGGCCGAGTGAAATACCCCCCCGCCGCTCCCCTTAGGAGTGCTGAAGCCACAAACTCGCCTGACACATCCTCAACATCATTGTGTGAGTCATCCGATGAGTGGACCTGAGTGAGTGTAGTGAATGTATGAGTACAAGTACGAGTGAGTCTGAGTGATGAGTGAGTCTGAATGATGAGTGAGTCTGAGTGACGAGTGAGTCTGAGTGATGAGTGTTGAGTCTGAGTCATGACTGAGTCCGAGTGATGAGTGAGTCTGAGTGATGAGTGAGTCTGAGTGATGAGTGGGTCTGAGTGATGAGTGAGTCTGAGTGATGAGTGAGTGGGTCTGAGTGAGAGGAGTGGTGTGTTCTCTCTCCTCCGGCGCGGTCCGCCAATAACAAGAACCCCATACTTAGGATATGGGGAACAATCCACGAAAGGGGCCGAGGGAAATACCCCCCCGCCGCCCCCCTTAAGTGCTGAAACCAGCGAATCGCCTGAGACATCCTCGCAAACTGCTCCGAAAGCGAAACATGTTGGAAGAGAAAATGGCCAAACCGCCTGAGACATCCCCACAAAATCCGCGAAAGGGGCCGAGTGAAATACCCCCCCGCCGCTCCCCTTAGGAGTGCTGAAGCCACAGAATCGCCTGACACATCCTCAACATCAGTGTGTGTGTGTCATCCGATGAGTGGACCTGAGTGAGTGTAGTGAATGTATGAGTACAAGTACGAGTGAGTCTGAGTGATGAGTGAGTCTGAGTGATGAGTGAGTCTGAGTGATGAGTGATGAGTCTGAGTCATGACTGAGTCCGAGTGATGAGTGGGTCTGAGTGATGAGTGAGTCTGAGTGATGAGTGGGTCTGAGTGATGAGTGAGTCTGAGTGACTGACTGAGTCTGAGTGATGAGGGAGTCTGAGTGATGACTGAGTCTGAGTGGGTCTGAGTGAGAGGAGGTGAGGTGGTGTTCTGTTCTCTCTCTGTTCCTCCGGCGCGGTCCGCCAATAACAAGAACCCCATCTCTTTGGATCCCCATAAGTGCATCTCATTCTCTTGGAACGTCATCGAGTCGGATAGAAAACTCGAAGGAGGAGGAGGAAGAGGAGGAGGACGACGAGGAGGAGGACGACGAGGAGAACGAGGAGGACGACGAGGAGAACGAGGAGGAGGACGGGGAGGAGAACGAGGAGGACGACAAGGAGAACGAGGACGACGACGACGACGACGACGAGGAGGGAGAGGGCGGCCGGAGGCAGCTTCTGTGCCCCCCGGGGCCCCTCGGAGCCGCTGCGTGCAGCTCGGCCGACCGGCGCGGCGACGCCATCAAACCGCCAGGCCGCTGGACTTCGTCGTCGTCGTCGTCGTCGTCGTCGTCGTCGTCCGTCGTCCGTCGTCCGTCGTCCGTCGTCCGTCGTCCGTCGTCCGTCGTCCGTCGTCCGTCGTCGTCGTCGTCGTCGTCGTCGTCGTCGTCGTCGTCGTCGTCGTCCGTCGTCCGTCGTCCGTCGTCCGTCGTCCGTCGTCCGTCGTCCGTCGTCCGTCGCGCCGTCGTCGTCGTCGTCGACGTCGTCGTCGTCGTCCGTCGATGTTGTCGTCGTCGTCGAGGAGTGAGACGAAGAGGAACGAGAGGAGAAAGAGGAAGAGCAGGACGTTAGGGCATGTACCCAGACCGCTTTCGCCAGTGCGCAGCGTACAGCGAAGGGTTAAAAGCGAAACGAATTCAACTGTTTAAAATCTGCGTTTAAACAGTCGATCCTCTCAGTGAGGCCGTCCTTTGCGGATCCGACTGAATATACAGGTTAAATTAGCCATGCAAACAACTGCTCAATGTTTATCCCAGCTGATCCTCTCAGTGAGGCCGGACTTTGCGCCTCCAGCTGGTTTAAACACAAAAGTTGAACAGATGTTTAGCTGCACGCTGCCAAGCTGCTGGGAGGATCACATGCGCGCGCAGACATCGAGGCGGTGCCAGCCATATTGGAGAAAGTTCTCCGGCGGCGTTCCGCTGGTCTAGTCCGACTGCCTGTCGCACGCAGCCCCGCACAGCCTGCCAGGCCCGACGCAAAACCCTGGACTCGCACAGCGAGGAAAATGCGCGCGGCGGAACCGGTGCATCGCTGCAAGAAGATTTGCGCGAGGAGGAAACTAGACACGCATTATTCGAATAAGACGAAAGGGTATTAGCGATGTGTGTGCATCAATCCCCATATGGCCCCATCGACCACTTATACAATGAGGCCTCACACAACGGCACAAGAAAGGAATACTCACAGTGCACACTAAGTTGAAACTCATGCGGCGGAGCTGCTGGGTCCAGGGTGAAGCGCCGAATGCCCCCCCTCCCGCCTCCTCCGACCCCTCTCCTCCTCTCCTCAGTCCACGGCGGCAGTCGCAGATCCGACACTTGTTGGATGGATCTCTCAAGCTCTCTGCCGCCCCAAGCGGCGTGCATTCAGAGGAGAAACGCAGCAAAACCAATGGAAAACGTGGCATTGACAGTGCAGTCCCGCAGACGTGTGAAATGCTCCAGCGAGCAAGAACACAGCAACGTCCGAGGGCAACGAACGTGTGCCAGATGAAACAATTGCGTTGTCCCCTCCTGCTTCCTCTGACTCTGGTGCTCGCCTGCCCCCTCTCCGCTGGCCCTCAGCAGACGCGCTGGAGCTCCGGCCCGACACCAGGCAGGCAGCCGCCGTAGTTCGGCGGCGCCTGACCCAGCGGCCCCTGGCCCTGGCCAGACCCCGAGGCCGTCCGCTTGTGGGGCTTGCGGTCCGCCGTGCAGGCACTGCAGCCTTGCTCAAAGGGGAACGTCTGTAGCTCCTCCTCGTTGACATCGCTCTGCGGCAGGGGGCCCCCGTGGTCGGCGTGGAGGGCGAACGTGACGCCCGCGGTTGCATGCGTGCCAGCACACGCAACGAGTACTACGCAGAAGACGGTCGGGGTGAGGAACACCTTGGTCATCAGCGCAACTGCGAGACGGAAGCTTGTCCAGTCCCATGCCGCGAGCACGCATGCAGCAAGCATCGCCAGTGACTTGACAGCGACCTGGATGGCAAGAGCCCCGGGGCTTGCACGCTCCTCGCACAGGAGGGCTACGGGGCTGGTGAAAAAGACGTGCGCGCCGACGCCTCCTGCGAACCCGGCAACCGACAGGATCCCCCGCGTGACTCCGTAGATGAAGCCGCTGGCCGCCACCATCCCCGCTAGACGGCATGTTTCGCTGTAGATGCTGGGGCTGTGGAGGTCGACGAGCAAATCCGCCGACCCCTTGTGGGTCTCTAGGCGTGTGAGATAGTTCCCCCCCCATTATAATCCCCCAGGAACCCCAAACCGGCGATTTGACCCCCCCCGGTGCCCCCCCCCCCTCGCCGACCACGAGCGCGCCACTGGGCTTTTTCGGGCCCAAAAGGGCTTCCAGACGCGTCCAAAACGGCCCACGAGGGCCTCGAAACGCCAAACGAACGCTCCAAAACGCTCAATATGGCCCCAAGACGAGCCAAGAGGCCTCCAAGCCGGCCCAAGAGGCCTCCAAGAGCAGTCCTCAGAAGGGCCGAAGAGCCGAAAATCGTCAAATTCCAATGGAAAAACGTACATTTTGATAATATACGACTTGTCGGCCTTCACGGCGTTGAAGACGGTCCAAGAGCACCCCAAGACCGCCCCAAGACGGCCCAAGAGGCCCCCAAGAGGCGCCCAAGTCGGCCCAAGAGGGCGCCAAGACGGCCCAAGAGGCTCCAAGAAGGCTCAAGAGGGCCCCAAGACGGCTCCAAGAGGGGCCCAAGAGCGGGAGCTCGAACCGACAATCCGAGCCTTCCGCTCCAAGACTGCCCCTGAAAGCACCAAGAGGCCCCAAGAGGCCCCCAAAACGCCCCCAAAAAACCCCAGAAGGCCCCCAAGACGGCCCCAAACCCAAACGGCCCCAAAGCGGCCCCCAAGAGGCTTCGAAACTGCTTCCAACAGTCCCGCGAGAAGCCCCCCAAGAGATCCCAGAGATCAGGGACTCGTTTTGCACGTCTTGCACTTCAGTGGTGCTGTCCAGAAATTCTACAAATCTACCTTTCCGCCCCCAGGAGCCATACGGAGGCCCCAAGAGTGTTCCAAAAGGGCGTCAGATGCCCCCTAGCGGTTTCAAAACAGCCTTCGTGCCGCGAGATCCCGATACACATTCGAGAAGCCTCTGATCCAAAACCAATAACACAAGCCTCATCTCAGTGTCCCCCTCCCCCTCCTCCTCCTCCTCCTCCACCTCCTCCTCGTCCCCAGCCTCTTCTTTCTCCACCGCTCCATCCTCATCCTCTTCGATTCCTCTCCCCCCATCCTTCTCTCCCTGCCTCTTGTTCCTCCCCAGCACACGCGTCCGATGGGGCATCATTTGCAAGTATTGCATTTCAGGGTGCCCTTTTTGGCATCGCGCGCGACATGGGTAGGGTCGGGGAACGCCGACTTCGGTTGTCTTCTCTTGCACGCGCCGCCGCACTGATACGCCTGGCAACTGCGGGCTGTGAACCCGAGTTCCTTGCAGCCTCCGCGCACCACTTTCACTCCTTTCGCCGCTCGATGATGTTTCTCTTACTTATGCTTCAAATGTTTCGCGTCCGAGAACGCTTCTCTGCACGCCGCACACGTCAGCGGTTTCGCGTCCGCCTCGGCTTTCCGTTTGCGATTCCCTGCTTCGTAATTCGTCAGCAAAACCGCCTTCCCCCGCTCTTCCGCGCACTTCCGACAGAGCCTCTCCCCTGCTGCTCTGTGCTTTTTCTGAGCTTCGGACATCCTCGCCCCCTCTAGGCACTCCAACAGGCAGTCGCCGTTCGAACACAGCAACGTGACCACGCGTTTCCTACCATTCGACGCAAGCGTCGTCCTTAGACGTTCTGACGCGCATTTCCGACAGAGCCTTTCCCCCGCAGCATTGTGCTTCTTCCGAGCTTCCGACACATCCGCCTTTTCGTCATGCAGCGACAGGCACTTACCGTTCGTACATCGCACCTTGCCGACGCCCTCGTTCCACTTCGCGTTGGCGCGCCGCGACTTCTGCTTGGCCTTGACATGGCTGCACCTCGCGCAATACATTGCCCTAATCCTTTTCGCCCCCCCGTCGTCGGCCGCCGCGTCCGCGTTCAGACCGCTGCCCTGGCGCGCCGCGTCGTCACCCTCAGCTTTCGTTGCCAACCCTCTGCGCGTTGCGCGCCACTTCTCGTCCGCGTTTTTCATGTCCTCCGCGCGCTCTTTGCAGAACGCCGGCCTTTCCTTTCTCTGGAATTCGCACTTCGTGAACGCCTCTACCAACAACCTCCGCCAGCAGCGCTCGCACTGGTCTCGTGGCATTAGCACCGCCCCCCATTCATCCCAATCCACTTTCTCCCCGCGAAGCACCTGCAATAATTTCTGCGCGCCTGGCATCTCCCCCGCGTTGCACGGCCTCCTCTCGAAAGGCCTGAAAATCAACCAGTTATCCCGCCCCTGCACGCGCGTGATGGCTGCGTAACTTGACATCCAACTCACGCTGCGCCCTCTTTCGAGGTCCGCAATCACTGCGGCCATGGCCCGGCCCTGCGCAGAGTGCGCCGTTGCTGCCAAAGCTGGGGTGATCATGAACTGCGTGCGCTTCACACTCAATACTGGATGCTTCCGATATCCGCCCAAGAACCATCGGCGCCCCTTCGATGGGAAGATCGGATACAGTCCCGGCCCCCACCCTGGCAGGCTGCCGACGTGGCAACGAATGTCCTGATTCGCATAAATGGCGACAGCTTCCAGGAATTTCCCCCCCCGAAACCGCGCGTCTTCTGGCGACGTCGCAACGAGCTTTCTCTTCCCCCGCTCAGCTCTGCAAGCGTCGCATTCGAGCTCGCTTTGCTTCGCAATTGCCTCTGCGTCTTCGAGACAACGCGTGCTTCCGCACAACGGTGCGCCGTTCACCCGCGACCCTGGCGCATCCGTCGGTGCGCCATGCAAAAAATTGCGCGCGCGTTCAGACAGCGCCCCTCGGCGGAACTCGCCCTGCACAGCAAGAAACCAAACGTCTTGATCCTCCACGCGCTTGCACTCCGCCAACTCCGCCATGCCCTGCACTGCCCCTTCGCCCCCAGCGCCCCAAAAGATATACTGTCCGCGGCTCCAATTGATAGAAGTCGCCACAGAACAGCACATTCACGCCACAGAAGGGCCCGGCCACGCCGCCTCCACCTACCTTCGCGTCACTCGCAGCTGACATGCACGACCGCAAGTGTGAGTCCAGCTCTGCTGAAGTTCGCGCTGACCATGCTCACCTCGTCCACAATCAGCCACTTCCACTGTGACATGCGCTGCGCCGCTAGCTCTTTCTTCGATTTCTTCTTCGTCTCTGCGTCGGCATCGCCCGCCGCGAACTTCTTCTCTTTCGTTTTGTTCACACCGAGCCCAAATGCACTGTGAATCGCATTCCCGTCGAGAGCTGACGCGTTTGTAGCCTGCAACGCTGCCGCCTGGAAATCTATGCCGCGCGTCCACCCCAGCTCTTTTTCGAACAGCTCCTTCCGAATCTTGTCCATGACGAAACTTTCCCCGGCCCCCGGGCCACCGTGCAACGTCCACGCGAGGGGCTGCATATCAGAACGACTCTGGCCTGCTTTCTTGCCGCTCGCGGAACACGCGAATTCTTGCGCCAACGCTCGATCTGCCACCTTCTCAACGGCGCTACGCTGGCCCGCGTTCAACCCGCTATCCGCAAACTCTTCTCCACTTCCGCACACTTGACGCAGGTGCTCTCTTGGCCGCCGCCACCTCTGGGGCACCTTCCGCTCCACCCGCGCCGCTGCCTTCTGCGGCCCTCGCCGCCGCCGCCACCGCTTGCGCTTTCTGCGCTGCCGCGCCGCCCCACCTCAACAAGCCTTCCCCTCCGAGCTTCTTGCGCTTTCGATTCTTTCGACTCGGTCTCTCGCCCCGCACGACGTCGCCTCTGGCCATGGCCTCCCGGCTCTTCTCCTTTTCGCACTCCGCCTCTGCATTTGCCCGCCTGTCCTCTTTCTCCATGGACGCGCCTCCCGCGCGCGTCTTCCGTCTAGTCGCCGCGTCGACAATTCTCGGATCCAGTCCTTCATCGCTGCGCAGCTCGCCCTCGTGCTTCACGAAATCTTCCTCCGTGACTGGCCGCAAGCCCACCACGCACGTGTGGTTCTGCACGTACCTCTTCGTTCCTTCACATGGCATCACGCCAACGACGCCTCCGCCCACGACCCCTGCTTTCCGCAGAAATCCCGCAGGTACGGCACTCCCACAGTCGACGTCGTCACGCAGCGCGAACGCTCGAATATATACCATCAACAAAAGCCCGTTCATATCCTCCTGCCCCGCTCCGTGTTTCGGCTGCGGCGCTCCAGGAAAACTGGGGTTCATCGGGCGCTCGTTTCGCACCTGCACCCACGTGCGCCACAAAATTTAAAGCTCAGGAATATATGGAAGTGGAACCCACGAATAACTCCCCCACCCCTCCTTGATCACATAATGCACTCCGGCTTTCAACTGGGGTCCGGCCTGCGCACCGCTTTCGTCAATATCCGCTCTCTGCTGGTCGGCTTCGCGCACCTTCTGAGTCCCGGACAGCGAGCGTCAGCTCCGCCTGGTACTCATCATGGCTGGCCGCGGCTGCCAGCTCTGCTCCGCTGCGAGGAAATGCTGCCAACTCGATGCGCCAATATCGCAATAACTCATACAACGATAAGTGTGCCAAGTCGGGCGCGCCAGGTTCGTCGACCGGGCGCATGCCATACAAGTACACTGGACAGACACAATTCGAACCTTTTTCGACCCTTCTCGTTTGTCCGCTTCCAGAATCCCCGACGCTGCTACGGCAACGCCGTCCCCGTCAGCACAGAGACGCTCCGCCATTCGCACGGCTTCAGCTCCCGGGATCATGGCTGTCTTCGCAGTCTTGATACTCTCGGCACCAGTCACGTCTCTGGGGTCTCGGGGCGATCGCAGATTCGCACTTTCCTGCGCTGACCGCACCACGCCTCTCCCGTACATGTCACTGAGAAACCTCTTCATGTGCCTGTTCGCTCGGTCCGCCGCGGCCCTGTCCTTCGTCTGCTCCGCCAGCGCGTGGCGTCCCTTTTTGATCTCCCTCACCTCGTTGAACGACGGGGCACACCGCTTGCGCTGATAGTCCGCCGCATGCCCAGCTGCTGCATTCTGCGCTCGCTGCGCTGCCAGAGCCATGTCTATGGGTCGATCCGTCTCCCAGCACCGCTCTTCGCACACACCTATCGTGCGTGGCTTCC